GATTGAACGAGATTTTGAATTACATTTATATTCACAGCTGCTGCGGAACTTTTAAGAATCAATCTTCACGCACAACATGGGGAATATTCATTGTCGTTAAACCCTGCAAAAAATAAACGGCCATTTTGCTCCAGACCCAACAACACAAATGTTCCTGTAGCTTAAAATATGTCCCAATTTTAATTATTAATAAAGAATTGATCTGTATCATTTATCTCTATGATAAGGTAGGTATTGTAGGAGTGGTTATCAATCAACTTGATGTCAAATGGTACACATTTATCTGAACATTGCTTGGTTACCATGGAATCTTAATATCACGTGGCAATCCTTTATGTATACATTGCTTGGTTGCCATATACCTAAACACCACGTGGTAACAATTTTTTTATGGAGATAACACATTTCTTGGTAACTATGGTATCTGAATATAAAGCAGTTTCATAAACATCACATGTTAACCAGGTGTTAAAATAATATTTGATTAACCTGTTATTCAAAATAATATTAAGTCAAGATGGTGTTTTTTTGTATACAAATGAAGCGGTATGCATCAAATAGTTTAGAAAAGACACTGAAACTGCTCGAACTAACGCTATGCCAGATGTCATAAGTGTTTAGAAATATACGTTTGAATGGCCCCAGAGCCTAACCAAACGGCTTGCACCTAGCCAAAGTTTTCTTTCAGTAATTTCGAACGGCGTCCTTGAAGACCCACAATGTATAAAATCCAATTAACTTTCTTGCACCTATTGTTTCATGAACAGTACAAATAACTGTATGTGATAGGTTGCTTTTAAGCATGCCAAAAGTTCGAAGACCTAAAGCAAATAATCCTCTGCATTAAGTTGATATCTGATGACATTCTGACATTTTATCTCAGCTTCATTTCAACGAAAAAAGGCTTCCCCTTAAGCTTTGTAAAACACGGAATATTTTCCTTCTTTTTAGTTAGATGGATAATAATTGTACAGTGAATGTTAAGACGCATTAAGATATGTTATTATCTCTTACGCACGTGGCGTACAGCGCCATCTAATAACCGATTCTGTATTCCAAATTTTCATAGAGTTTTTACGAAAACCTTGAAGCTTGGTCATATAATTGTCTTTAGCAACTTAGTATAGCTTCATTACGCATTGTATTATATTACTGTATGCACATACGGTCCAGAGAACAACGCACCCTGGTAATCATGTAAATTCCATGTGGAGTTATACCGTATGCTTAAAATTTTGAGTTTTTGAATACTAAATATTTTTTCTTTTTTAAAAATACACCCCTTTACCGAATCCTTGACCCTATGCATGTCGAACGCATGACCAGAAATGTGTCCGTCCACTTCGCACCTTCAGAAAAAGCCTACTTTCACTGTCACCCACAAACACATAACAGGTAAGACCCGGGTTTTCAATAAAAACATACTTGCTAATAAAGTGTCTTTCTATTATTCTGTCATTTACGCCATATATTATATGGCAGTGACACAATTCACATTTCTCACGTGGCCTTACCTGTAACTTTCTGGTTCTCCTCCGCGTGCTGGAATGCTGCCGTGGTATTTTACACTCGTTGCAGGTGGTTGTGATAAGCCTTAGGAACAAAGAGGATGAAACCGGTTGCCAGTTTTCTTCTTTTTCACAAGCTTAATTTGTTACGACCTCTGACGTCTCTGTACTGTCTCCTATACTTCAAATCTATAAATAGATACTGTACTATTTTCTCTCTGAGACGGTTTACCACTCACTCAATTACTGCACTTATCTCGGTGAAAAAAATCACAACGATGGTTTTCTCTCTGAAGGTGTCCTTATGAGTCAGAAATTGGTTGACAACGCACGATGGCTCACCCACAACAGGTCTTCAGCTCACAGATTTTCCTGACTCTTCAAACCTCAAATTGTCCGAGATAATGCCAGCTAACCCAAAAGCAAAACAAACAAGTGATAGCAGTGTTCAATGAGGGGCTTAAGGCAGGACCACCTTAACTCCAATCATACACACTGACTTCACGACTCCTAAACAGCAATGACTGGCGTCTCTCTGGGACTGGAGCTTTTATAAGCGCAAGGTCAGCTTACTGAGAGAACGCTTAGTTTTCCTGGTAATCGATATCAAAGGAAACATACAGGGGGTCTAGAAAGACTGCGCGCTCATTTGTGAACCGAAGTCCGCGGCATGCGCCAATTTGCAGGCGTCTTGGCCAGACAGATTTTTATGAAATTAAATAAAATAAAGGCATTCAATGTGGATATTGTCCCCCAGGGAAATAGATTAACGAGGAAATGTAAAGGCAGTTCTTTGTGAGCACCTCCAGGATCGATATCCTAGAATAACTACATGGGTTTCCGGGAGTATGTGAACAACTGCAAGATGACTGCTTGTAATCGATAGCGGTATGTGTTCATAGTTGTCAGGAACAATTGCATATAGAAGGTGTTGGAAGAAACCGGCTGGTAATTAAACACGGTAAATCGATATTATATGGAATTGTCTAGGAGACGTTGAAAAGCCGAATATGACACTCAGTTTATTCAATGTCTTCCAAGAAAGAGCTACTTAATAATCTAAATGTTATTATCGCCACAACGTGTTTATGTGCGTCGCTAATAGTCTAAAGACAGCATTTAACTCCACAGTTTTATCGTAAGCGTTGTAGTGCTTTTGAACACCAAAAATATCGCTTGCAATTTCTTTCTATTCAATGATTTTCGTGCATGATCCATTATCAATTTGAAAGAAAGATTTAACACAATGATTTTCCCATAGGGGTTTAAAACTTTGTTCGAGTGTATAGTATTTATTTATTTGTTTATTTATTTATCACTCTTGTCTGTTAGTCCTCCAGTTTCGCAGTTAATAATGTGTCAAACAAAACAAACAAAAGTTGCGAATTTTATCTAATGTTTTTTACTTGAATATATTAGTGTACATTTTACTCCCTCTGTAAAAAATTAATTGGCCTGCGTTGCATTGATCGACGACGGATATATTCCTGTAAACTGAAAGTGTTATCGCTCATCTGTTAGAGAATGCTCGGTAAAATAATGATTAAACTTAATGACACATGTTTACAGCAGAAGAACGACTAAGAATTGAGACTGACGGTTTCTCTCTCTCTCTCTCTCTCTCTCTCTCTCTCTCTCTCACACACACACACACACACACACACACACACTTCCACACACACAAGTACATAAAACACGGCGACTACCCCACACAAACAAACCAAACAAACAAAAAAAAAACGAACGAACGAACGAACAAACAAACAGACAAGCAAACGAACAAACAAACAAACATACACAAAAACAAACAAACAAACAAACACGGGGGACACAAACAAACATACTATTCATTGGGCCGTATGCATAAAAATGAAGCAAATACTTATAGCAGAAGCAAAATGTAAAAGCATATGCTTGAAGTAAAAAGTAAAAGTAGAAGCATTCACTTGGTTTGGTATGCATAATTTTTTACTTTTACTTCAAGGCAAATGCTTATACTTGGCAAGCATTTGCTTGTTTACCACCTATTTTGTCCTTGGTTGAGCACGGATACCACAGGTTATGCAACATTTTTAACAGGTTCAAAGTAATCCTCTGACTGTCACTCAGTGCAGAGGGACAAGTTAACATGAAACTGACCAACCATCTTTTGTATGGGTTATGAAATGACGACCTTCTAGAGTTTGTCCTCTAACTGTCAGTTCAAAGGACAATTCTACTAGGTACATGCAGACACATCACTCCTGAACAGAGATGTCAGACGCAAAGCAGAAAACCTTCGTTGCATTGCTTAAGGAGATGCCTGTTCTTCTGAATAAATCTCAAATCCCCAGTATGAAACAGATGAAGACTGATGCAAGTGAGAAGTTTATTACGTCTTACAAATTAAAAAGTGGAATATCACTAACTAAGGAACAGCTCATGAAGAAGATCAACAACATGCGAAATACAGTAAAGTCCAAATCTGACATTAAAAAAACTGGCAACAAACCAATCAAATTGTGTGACTGGGAGCAGGAATTCCTTGATTTGCTGGATGCAGAATCCAACCCATCTTTCAGCCGCGTACCTGGTATGTTCTCTTAAGCAAGTACTAGCACGTACGCAACACACATGCAGCACTTTTCTTTTGTTATTTCACAGCAGATTGCACCTACAACAAAATAAATATGCTGTATGTGCGTCGCAATGCAATCAGCAGTAGCAGACAGGCCATATGCATGTCCTATGTTGCGTTTTTCACAAATTATATTTCTAATTAAGAGTTCTTGATTGATATACATGTATACCTAAAAATGGAATCAAAACCATTTTCGTAAAATGTTAATAACGAATAAATTTTGATGACAAAATACAAACACCACTGCTGTGACAGAGTATAAATAATCCAAGAAAAATTATAAGGCATATGACATGAAACGAAAGCTGTCCAATAACACTGGTTATGGTTTATTGTACATGTACTTAAACAGGTGGAGTTAGTGCTGGTGTTCACTCCAAACGGTCCGCTGCTGCTGCTGCTGCTACCATTGAAGACTCGGAAGAAGACGAACCGACGCAGGAGGAAAATGAAGAAATCTCAGCTCCTACTCCTAATAAGAAACCTAAATTACCACCTCCACCATCACGAAAGAAGTCAAATGACCTACCTGAAACGGAAGAAACAAAAGATCTAACAACGCATGAACTGCAACGCCTTGTGCTCCTAGAACAGTTGAAACTCATCAGGATGCAGCAAAATCAAATTGAAAATCAATAAGACTGTAGTAACCATTCAAGATGTTTACATATGACATTTAACTAAAAGCTGTCCAATAACAGTGGTTTATGGTTTATTGTACACTAACAGGTGGAGTTAGTGCAAAATAAAATTGAAAATCAATACACTTGTAGTAACCATTCAACAAATTTGTTTCTTGTAGCTTATAGTGATAATTAAAACTTACCAAATTAAATTACACCCAGGTCCTTCTGTTCCCTCCATCATTCACACTAATCCTGTAAGTCATGCAGAATAGCTGCTATCTCCCGTTGCCTATCCTGTCCCCTTCGGCGAATCCTATTTTGGTTATCCTCGTTTTCATCATCATCATCATCTTCATTTACCCAATCTCTGAATTCTGGAAAGTCTTCTGGATCCTGAAGATACTTGGACACGTTGTGCAGGATGAAGCAAGCTAAGATTACTTTTGGGATTTTCTCAAGCTGGACCCGAACACGCCCCTGCAGAATAGGAAATCTTCTCTTCACCTGTCCAAAGCAACGTTCAATGATGACACGTTCTTTCTTATGAACCTTATTGTAGGATCTTTGCTCTGGAGTAGCTGGATCTTTGAATGGGGTCATCAGCCAGGGGGCAATGCCATAGCCTTCATCTCCCAACAACAAAGCATCAGATCTGGAGTTTGACATGAAGCGGCCCACTGGTGAATTTTTCCAAATACGGCTGTCATGAACAGATCCGGGCCATTCAGCTGACACACTGGTGAATCGTTCGCCAGCATCACATGTTGCCTGCACATTCAGTGTGGGCACCCCCTTTCGACAAACGTACTCATCCCCATGGTGTCCAGGTTTTTGGATAAGAATATGAGTGCAATCTAGGGCTCCTATTGCGCAAGGAAAATTGCATTTTTCCAGCCATGAATCTTTTGCCTTTTGAATGTCATCAGGATCAGTGGGAAACTGTATCCAGATGCTGGCTTTCTCAACCACCTGCTCCAGAACATTAGCAAACGTCCTTGACACAGTACACTGATGGATCCCCATGTCCTTGCCCACTCCAACCTGAAATCCAGGGTCACCAATATAGCGGAGGAAGACTTCCATTCGTTGTTTGTTTGAAAGTGCACCTCCCCTGGTTTCAGAATTTTCAAACAGAAAATGCTCTGCCATCCATGTAACATTTTCCTCCATAAAACGGAATTCTGCATGGTAAGAAGGTGATGCCTGGTCTCGTCGAGGCTGGTACACCTTCCTCCTAGGACCAAGTTGCATAAATGCAGCCATTTTGCTCACGGTCAACTGAACACTTCACTTCAAGTTGAAAGTCAAGGTAGATCTGCAGCTACCTTGAAATTTTGAAGCAAATACTAGGACAGTTTGAGCAAATGCTCAGTTTTATACATATGGTTTTTAGCATTTGCTAGAATGAAACAAGTAAATGGTAAATGCTTTTGCTAATAGCAATAGCTTTTAGCAGAAGCATTTACTTGGGAGTGTTGTGCATACAGACTGAAGTAATTGCTTCAAATTTTAAGTAAAAAGCATTTACTTTTTTTATGCATACGGCCCATTGTCTAATCACTACATTTAAAGAGGCACATTGCGAGGGAGGAAACATACATATTGCTATCATTAACGCAGAAACATCTCCCTAAGGTGAAAATACCCAAAGAAACAGACACGTACTCTTCCACTGCTATTCGCTTCACGGTATGAACACGAGCATGCCATCTCATTTAATTCATATTCACACACACACACACACACACACACACACACACACACACATGCATACTCAGAACCCAAGTAGGCCTACGTATATGCACTCAGCTGCATGTTGGATAGTGGAAAATTCCTATCAGAGGAAAATTCCATTTTGCAGTGGCCATGGCCATATTACTTGTTATCCTCAATGTAGCTTGTTTTAGAGAAGGGTGTTAACGCTGACTTAATGTGACATATATGTATACCCCCTCATATACACGCTTACACACGCGCACGCGCGTGGCATATGACATTATTACAAATTGTCATCTAATTTGTTCACGTCACTTCCTCATTTCAGTTACAGTCTATAACTAACGCGTGGAAAGAAGACACCACAGATCGCCTACACGCGCGATGTCAACCGACGCGATTTTATAGCACGAATAGTTTCCTGTTGCCAATCGCATATATTATTCCACTAGATTTCTCCTATGCTAAGAGACCAGAATTTCCCGTTGCATTTCTTAGCATGCAAGCATGTATGACTTGGCCTTTCTACGACCCCACTTCATACTCTACGCCACGTGAAAAATTCTTTGAACTAATTCATCGAAGTCACTACAGATGCAATTTCGACTGGTTTAATTTTTCAAAGACAATGGCACACGAACTGAGGGCGTGAGAAGCTTTCTATTCTTAAGCTCACCGTAGGTAGCAAATGCTTTCACGTTTTTATTCCGCATCCTACAGCCAGTGGCATGTTGCGACATGGCGTGGATCACGATGAACGGAGTAACTTCACGAAGCGGGCGGCAGCGATGGGCCTTTTACCGAGACGCGTTAACTGCCTGCAATAANATGCACGTGTCGCGTTGATGTGGTGCTCGTTTGGCAGTTATTGGTTGATTAAAATACCTCGCTCAGCATCGACATTTAAAGAAAACGTGTTAATGGCTTGATTTTTCTTATCTTATATAACATGTGTGGGTTTCACTGACAAAAGGTATATTTGGTATATTTCCAATTAGTTCCTTCATTAATGAGCAAGAAGTCATCAATTTCCGCTAGGATCCAACAAAAAGTTTATATTGGATCCTAGATTTCTGGAAAGAAAAACGCCAATTTAACAGTGACAATTCTATCTTGATTGGCATTTTTATAAGTCAAAATAAGATATAAAAAAGCACATTCTGAAATGACATGAAGAACGTGACACTGTGTCACTTCGTTCAGTGGGTCATGGTGAGGTGGAGAGGAAATGGACGCATATCTTCAATACTTCTGCGTAATTATTTGACGCTCAAGTGACATTTTCTAGAAGGGACGCTCACGCCACTGTTCCGCCTTCTTTTCTATAATGCCACAATCTTGGGTATAGCCATGAGCGTGTTCTCAGTGCAGTGAAGTGAGCGGAGGTGGTAGACTGTACGAAGTGGGAGTGACGACGCCGACAGCAGTCAAAGCAACCACTACAATATATATATATATATATATATGTACAGGGATACAAATATAGGCCTATATATGTATACTTAATTTCAGCAGTTATGAAACACCTTGGGGATTCCCTTCAAAATCACTCTGTTACTGTTTAGAATTTATTAAGTTTTCACCACAAAATGAGTACATGCATGTGAAAAACGACACAATTCCATCATGAAAATTAATCCATACATGTGAATTTATGGCAGAAAGTACCATGGCATGGTGATGGTGGATCAAAATATGTAAAGCCATCTGAATCTCGGGCTGCACAAAGAAAGTCTGGTCCAATACTAGCTGACAAGCTCCATACACTTTTGGTCTGTATTTGTCAAAAACAAAAAGTTGGGTCATATTTCTGCAAATTTTGAAATTCCTTGATTTCATGGGCAGTTTTACTGTTTCATTTTAAGGGAAGAAAGTTTTATTTAATAAAGCAGATCTGTACCTTTATCAACTTTTTTATTTGTTGACAAGTAATGCACATGCAGACTGTGTTTTCTTGGTTTTAGCACATTTTGACAGAACGGACATGACCTATATAATACTGAAATGACAATAATGACACTGGAGATTTTTAAATATATTATATTTACATATGAACATTGGAAACAGTGATACAAGTGAAAAATTTACTTTAAAAGTGCAGATAAAACTTGTTTAAAATACACTGATAAAAAGCAAAGAATTTTATCAGCTGTGTTATATAATTATAAAAATCTTCAATCAATAGCTAAATATTGAACATTATTGAAATTTATCAAAATATTGGAGGTAGATCTAAACATTATTACGATCTTCAACTGTTGATTGAAGAAAAAAATTTTATTCTTATTAATAAATTTGCATTACCATACTACTTCGCACAAGTCTTACAGACCAACATAACCGCGAAGTTTTTTTTTTAATCAAAGAGTTATAACTCCTTGTTTGGATTATATGTGAATATGTTACCAATAGCTTTGCATCTTATGCACTCTTTACTTTGTTAAGAGATTAAACTTTAAAAATAATATCTGGTATTAAATATTTATATCTGTACCAATATATGTACATTAAACACCGATCTGAAATACAAAATAATACTTGTCTAAAATATATATTGAACCTTTTGCTAATCTAGGCAACATATGAAATTTGTACATTCTCTATAAAGAAGATTATCTGACCAATCTTAGTTCATGTGTAAGTAGTAACATGGAGTTCTGAATCCTGCGAGTACATCTCTCATAGCTTTCATATACAGCTTTATATATAGTTATAGCTTTAAATTGCAACTATTATCACCTTCCATATAAACATTCTATCATGCAACTTACATCTAACTGTAAGCACTGTAGCTAATATACATTTTATGATCTAACATTTATCTAACTGTAAGCACCTTTAATCTCATTTGTTAATATGATCATAATTGTTCAATCTTTGGTTTTCTGGGATAATAAACCACTGATGAATTCGTTATATATAACATAGTAAACACACATTGTTTTTTGGGGATTGCAATAACACATGACCACACTTCACACATACTAAACAGTAGCCACCCCCAGGGGCCCTAACCCCATGGATATCTATGACACTTCCTGGGTTTTAGCTACTGATAATTATATTAATCGCAAAAACTACATAAGTAGTCTACCTTTATGCATGGTTATTTCAAGTACTGATAAAAATTTCTTAATGTAGTAAAACTGTATCTTCAAACCACAACGACAGCCCCACCACCAGTTACATTAAAATCTGTAAAGGAAAACGCACATCCCTGATGCCTAAATTACACAAAGAGATGAAGAGGAGGGAGGCAGACTGAGGAAGACTTTTGTAACAAAACTGCAAGGTTAGTAAATAGTTAAAGGCATCCAACTACATTCCCTGTGGGTGCTACATTACAATTGTAATATTTTACAGCAACCAACAGTTTATTTCACAGGTTTTAGCCCTATGTAAAAAGATGAGTGAAAATATAAAACTGACAAGCAACAACATAAAAGGCAACTCCCCAACACAACCTTTGGCACTGCTTCTACCACGTATGTCTTTAAAAATATCTAATTGTTATCCAATAAGAGTAAATTTCTCAAATGCCAACTGATATTGCACCCTTCTCTGTAAAGTGGAGAAAAAGTCCATAAAACAAAAATGCACACCACCAGTGCATTCAATAGAGACCAAATGCTTACTGTAATTCACTTACATATCTTGTAACAACCATTACTCAATAAAAAACTGCAAAAGAAAAAAATGGTGGAGCAGACAAAATTCTGCTGATGTTCTTTGCCTCTTAACATCATCACAACCAGGAGCACATTTCCTTTAAAGTAAAAAGAGAAAAAGAAAAAATAATAACTGGCCTGGCTTGTAGTTTTTAAAATTGTGCATAACTTGACAAAACTTGAAACCCATTGGAAAAATAATACCAGCTCTTTTTTCTGTATTTAAAGGTGCACAAAAGAGGATATTGGCAACAAAATTTATATTTAACTAATTATCCCAAGGTAACCCAGGGCTATCCAACCTTAAGTCTTGTTTTCTTCTAACTCGCCATAACTCTAACACAGGGGATGGCGATTATGAATATTTTTTGTAATATGTACTTTGTCCTGTGCTTTAAATCACAGCAAACAAAACTGTCAGTAAAAATACCACCACTCCTCAGTTTCTATCACAATCACAAGGTGGCCTGTTTCACTTGGTTCTACAGATGGTGAATGCTGGTGGTTGACTACCCTTGCAAAACTACAAGAAGTATAATAGTCACATAGATCACTACACCAAGTGGAATTGCAACATAAACGGCTATGACAGCCATCCTAGAGTACTCCTGGGTCCTGGCATACACGCCCTTCTCCCGCGCCCTTATTGCCTTCCACACCCACGCATTGGCCGCACAGGCAATAAATGGGCAAAACAAATACGAAATATAAGTCACGATCAACACACGATTGAGACTTTTCCAGCCTTTTGGCACCAGTTCCTCGGAGGCAACTTTCCGTACCAGATGAGGGACAGTGATGGTGCTTTCTCTGCAAGGGTTATCTGGTGTGTTACGGAAACCAGGTTCGATGGCAAAAGTGGCAGGCCCTGGCTCTTCTTCTTCAGCTTCCATTACAACTATCTCATTTTCATCAACTGAAAATTAAGAAGAAGTCATGTTAATGTTTACCTGTAGCAAAATTGAATTACTAGTAAACTATCATGTCATATCAAATAAATAAATAAATAAATTTATGAAAATATTAAAATGAGAGTAGAATCAGTCTATTTTGCAATTAAATAAATTATTCAATGGTGATTAAGGAGTGGAGGATATCACATGCTTCATTTTCTTATTTGCCTTTGAAGTGGGATTGGCCATATTTAGTCGGCAGATTATCTGTTCAGAATGCAGTCACTTCATTTTACCCATTAAAAATTATCTTGAACAGTGACACGTACTAGAGTGATTGCCAGTTAATCTATAACAAGCCTAAAATTGAAAATGTCACTCACCTTCCCCTGCTTCTCTTGCTTTGGTAAGCTGCGCAGTGTTTTCATTGTGGGTAGGCGTGGAATCCACACCTGGGTACACTGGGGGAGGGACCCCATGAATCTGATAAGACATGGTCTGGACCTGAATGTCAATACTCAATATTAATACATGTAATAAATAAATCTAGCAGTGAAACAGCAAATTGATGTACATGTACTAGTAAATGTTACAGGGATATGAATGATCGAGGAAATTTTAATAATTAAATGGAAATTTATTTAAGTCTAAAATCCATTAAAATAGTTCAGCAGACTTTACATTAAAAACAAGTACTTGAGAAAGCAATTACCAAGATATCTGTGTAAAAATAAAATATAATACAGTACTTAAAAAAAAAAAACAAATTTTAACTTCTCTACCTTGTTGCTGGTAGGAATATTTTGCAAATTCCAAAAGAATTGCAAATCTGTTTTGCATTTACTTCTCTGATCAGTTTGAATTTTTTCCTGA